TGTAATCCCGTGCTTTGGGAGACTGAGGTGAGTGGACTGCCTGAGCCCGCGGGTTCGAGACCCGCCTGGGCAACTTGGCGAGACCTCATCTCTACAATAAATCAAAAATTAGCCGGATGTGGTAGCGCGCGCCTGTAGTTCCAACTACTTGGAAGGCTGAGGTGGAAGGATCGCCGGAGTCCAGCAGGTCGAGCGGCCACTGCACTCCAGTCTGGGCGACAGAGTGAGACTCCAACTCAAAAAAAAAAAAATGATACTTTTCTTCTTCTGGGGAATTGCCCTGTTTGGCTCCATAGGAGACCAACGATCATAATTACTACAACCTCCCCACTTGCCAGTGCACTCTCCACACAGGTGGGCATATTTCCAGAACTAGCCAGTTGGTTTTTTTTCTAGGATTTGCCAAATGTGTACTGCAATTAGAGATCTGCCCTTCCCCTGGGGAGGAAGTGGAGACAGTGGAGACTCTTTGACCTTCATGGCTTTATTTTTGGAGAAATCCAGGCTGTGACAATAAAGTAGACACATGGAAAGAAGGCCGAGTTACTCACACCAACCCCCACATTTGGTCATGTGGATCAACAAACACTCGAGTTTTGGCTGAATCAGCGTGAGTTTGATTTTCACACTGGCAACTAAAGTCTTAACAAGTAGAAGCATATACAAGCATAAGCAGTGAGTCATGTAGGATTAGCTGTATCCCTCTGTTTCCTCCCTATTCAGTCTCTACATTTTTGCAGGTAAATCATGGTGCCTACCAGAGGAGGTACTTGGTCTCATCACCCCAGGATCTACTGGCTTCTGTTTCACAGCCACAGGATGTATCCTTAACTTTAGGGTTTGGCAAATGCCAGAGTTTTGTTTGGGGGGAATACCAAGTGGGAGAGTATGGCTGGATCAGTCAACCCTTTAGTATGTTTAGGAAGAAAACCAAAGCCCCCTCTAGAGCACCTTTTGTTCCCTCAGAGCCGCTTTAAGCAGTCAAAGGAAGGTCCACCAACCTCCCCCACTCTAAATTAAGCGGTGTGTGTCCACGTAACCTCATAAACAGCTCTGGCCTGTCCCTAGCGTACTCCTGATCAATATCTGCTGTACTGGGTCCTTTGGGTCTAAGTTGTCTGAGACGGCAACCTGAATAGCACCTTAAACGAATTAACAAAACTTAAATTTAAGGAAATTATATTTCTTTTGGGGTCAATTTCCCCCTCATTCCCCTCTCTTCCTTCTTCCTTCCAAATAACATTTTGAAAATGACCTTCTAAGAGTAACATTTTTTTCATTACAGAAAAATCTAAAATGCAGAACACTGAAAAAAGAAAACAAGAATTACTGGCACTACTACCACCTGAGACAGTCCTGGTAAATTGTTAGCATATCGTTTTCCAACTATTTTTCTATGTGATGATATATTTATTTATTTATTTAGAGTTGGAGTCTCACTGTCGCCCCACTGTCGACCTGCTGGGTTCTGGCAATCCTTCCGCCTCACCCTTCCAAGTAGCCAGAATTATAGGTGCTAGCTACCATGCCCGGCTAATTTTTATTTATTGTAGAGACGAGGTCTCACCAAGTTGCCTGGGCTGGTCTCGAACCTGCAGGCTCAGGCAATCTACTCGCCTCGGCCTCCCAAGGTGCTGGGATTACAGGATGAGCCACTGAGTTCGGCCATGATAATATTTTAACATAGTTGAAATGATAAAGCATATTCAATATTGTGTTTTTATATTTTCATGTAATGAATCTAAGCATTTTCTGCTATTTAAATTTTTTCATCTTTATTTCTTTGGTATTTAAAGCTGCCATGAACATCTTAGCATTACATCTTTGATGCCATATTTCAGAACATATAGAACACTCTTAGCACGCATGAGGGATTTACACCAAGGTAAATGATAATCTAGGTATTTAATCCCATTTGTGTCTTTCTGAATATAGAGTAGATTTTAAGAATATATTGTAATTTGAAGTGATCAGATTGGAGAGGCTACCGAGTGTGTTTATAAGAGCACAATAAAATGCTAATATGCCTGATACCTGCAAAACTTGTTAGTTTCTGACCAGAAATTCCAGAAATACAAGGAAATGTTTCATAAACTTTAGGTTTTCCAGTCTTTCTGCACTTTCCAATCATTATTTCTGGCAAAAGCCCGCTTAGTTTTCTGCCAGTCTTTCCATACACAACTGAGACCTCTTTTGTCAAACAAAATAGAAGCACAGCATTTTGTCTACACGGTTGAAAGTGACAGCAATGTTTCTCAGTGTTTTTGAGGAAATGCAAAATATAAAGGAGTTGAAATTAAGAAAGCATTGTTTGAGAAAAGATTTGAAAGCAATAAAAATGTGCCATTTTGACACCAGTAAGATGTGCCTCCTCTCTGCATTTGACTCACCAAAATGATCCTCAACGTAGGAACAATGCATAGACACTTTTGGCTTCTGCCCAAGTCATCTGATGATGCTTGTGACTCCCTACAATATTTGGCAACCATTTCACTTAATTTTTGAAAATAAATCCAATCAGAAAACTATGGCGCTCTTTGGAAGGCGGGGTAGCAAAAACAAGGAATTATTGGTTAAGCAGTTTATGTAATTCATCTTTAAAGGATTCAGTTTGACGTTAGCAGGAAGTATAACATTACAAAGATAAAAGCTTCATTTAGTCTTCACATTTTCAAGACATAAATGGGGTAGTTTACACAGGGGTTGGGGGTTTAGAACAGAGTTGACTAGGCATCAAAGCAATAGTATGAAAAAGTTTTTTATTTTGAATTTTTGAGGTTGGAAACTGATCAAAATTTCTGATGATCTATTTTTGACAGAGTGGAGTCTTATTTTCTTTCATAAGTAACAAATATCTTCTACTTCAAGTGCTCCATCTGTGGCAACAGGATGATACATGTTTTTGAAAAAATTAGCAAGATTTTGCCCATCTAAACACCTAATATTAACAGCAGCACAGGCCCAGACTTGATAAAACTCTGGTCCTTGTTCTCTGGATTAACATGTGGTCCAGTTAAACTCAGGTATTTAAATGGGAGTTTTGAGATTATCTTGCCCACTAGTTCTCAACTAGGGGACAGATGAAGGACAAGACAGCTTTGGACACATATTCCTCTTGCTGAGAACCATTGATGGAACCTAAATCTCTTTTGTTTAAGTGGAAAGAGCAGATGCCCAAAATAATACAGCAAATGCCCAAGGTCACCTTGTTGTCAGTAGCAGCAGAATAGGACTAGAAAAACTTTTCTCCCAGGATAGCATCGTTTCCACCTTAGAATCCACTGGATTCTACTGACTGCCTAGAATCTACTTGAACATAGCAGTCCAGAGGTTCTTTACCAATGGGTATTGCCAAAAGCTTCCTCCTATCCTCACTCCTAAGATACATCAGCTCCCAACCCTTGGTGTCTCTGTTTCTAAACTTTCTTGCTTTGATTAGAACTCAGCCATAGTGGAATTTGTGGGAGATTAGAGAAATATCTTATTTGATGTGGCAACTCCAAATGGTTAGAAGCATTTGAGAGAGATCATAGGCTCCATGTGACTCCATAATAGTACTATGTACAATTAATGATGTCTGGATATACAAAGGATCGGGAGGTATTGCTATTCTGATCTATCTCTTAGGCCGAGAAAATCTTATATTTATATAGAGAGGGAATCCAGGCGTTGGAGAGTTGTTTCTCCATAGGGATAGAGGTCTGATGTTTTAAAGAGCTAGCGTGGGGAGTGTTTTTGTAATCTATACTAGTTACTCTTCATGTCATCTGCTCTGACAGGATGGAAATGAAATAACTCAGAGAGCTGTTTTATTAGAGCTGGACGTTCCTATTACTCCAATTACAAATATCACTTAGGTTTTGCGTTTAAGGAAATACAAATATAAGTATACTTTAAATTATTCATGATAATGGTAGTGGAGATAAAGGGTAAAGATATCTACAGTTAGAGTAAAGCATGTTTTCAATATTTATAATAACTTTACTCAAGGAAGTAATACTTAAGGAAGTAAGTCCAGTAAAGGCTTACTTAAAGGATGATTTTATCCTTATTTTAAGGATGATAATATGCAAGTATAATCACAGTTGTACTCTTGTAAAAATGCCAGACTGGAAACTTCTCAAGTGACCATCAGCAATAGAGTAGAGATAAACGGTAGTAGAGTCGCACAATAGAATATTATTCTGCAACGAGAAGGAAAGATCCGCAATCAGTGCAGAATGTGCTTAAGCTTTATGCAATTTTTGTATATATGTTATAGTATGTCTACAATGTTTTTAAAAAGGCAAATGAGCATTTTTCAACAGGTGGGATAACTAATACCTGTAATTTAGATAGAAATTCCCTCATGTTCATCTTTTGTTAGGAAAAATAAGGATTTTGGACGTGTACCTATTTTGTAAAATCTTAATCAGGTAATTAAATGAACTAAACTAGTCAATAGATTAGGAAAAGAAAGAAACATATAGAACTCAAGAGATTAATTTTGACTGGGCACAGTGACTCATGCCTGTAAACCCAGGACTGGGAGGCCGAGGCAGGAGAATCACTTGAGCCCAGGAGTTCAAGGCCAGCCAGGGCAACACAGTGAGACCTTGTCTCTACAAAAAACATAAAATAAATGTTTTTTTTGGTTACCCTTATTAAAATTTTTTTTAATTAGCCAAGTGTGGTGGTGCGCACCTATAGTCCCAGCTACTCAGGGGGCTAAGGCAGGAAGAACAACTCCTATTTGGGGCCGCAGTGAACTATGATCTGGGTTACAGAACAAGATCCTGTCTCACTCACACACACACACACACACACACACACACACACACACACACACAAAAGAGAGAGAGAGAGAGAAAGAGAGAGACAGAGAGATGAATTCTTAATAAGGGCAAACAGTTCCCTTCTAGAACGCTCTGTGACTTAGAATTCTAGAAGCAGGTTCATCAGTGGCCTTCCATTTCTATTCAGAAATGCAGTTTCTAATGTTAGACAGCTGGCACAAAGTCTTAGTGAGTAATGGGCTCACAATTCTAATTTATTATCAAAATATTTCCATCAGATGACAAACCAGAAAAGATAGGAGACGCAGAGCTACATAGATGCAGTTTTGCCCTTTTATCAGAGCCCCTCTCAGGGACAAATTTTATTGTGAAAGCCCAATTTGTAAACCACAATTACTGTATATCCCTAGACAACTCTTCAATGGCAATTTTTACCCCAAGGTTTGTGTTTAAAGCTTTTCATCAATATGATTTATAAGTGTAAAAAGTCTCAAACTTTCATCTGTTTATCACTTTACAGATCTTAGTTGACAACTGTTTATCTTGGTCTAAAACTTCAATATTTAATGATTGCCTATAATAACAGTTACTTAGTCATAAATGTAGTCAATAATTAAATATAAAAATTATTATTTATACATTACTATAAATCTCTTAAAAAGACCAAGTTTTGAGACTAGAGCAAGAAATTGCTTAGAAAAAGAATCTCAAGATCAGTCAAAGCAAGTACAACAAAAAACAGTTTTAGACATTCATTTTTGCCCCAAGAGTGCTTAAAATAAATGATCACAGAATGAATAACTGATCCATGGCAAAATGAGTTTAAAACTAGATAAGCCCCAAGGCCTCAATGTGTATAAATATTCTTTGGAAGGGTTTTGAAGGAGCGTAAATGTTGCAAACAAAAGTAAAAACTAATATTTAGGTGATGTGTTTTAAACTATCATGTCACCACTGTGCTTTTGAGGTCGGATTGTATTTTTCAATGTCTTCTTTCCCTTTTTGATGAGAAATCCCGGCCTACCTCAGTTGGTTAACACTGTTTTCTAGGGACAACATCAAACTGGCAGCCCACATGAGAAACAGAAACGGACAATAATATTCTCTTTAGAAATTAAGCATTATTTACACAGTGAGAAATGACTGACTTGACAGACTTCAGACCCCCTTCCTCCCTCTACAGTCTTACAGAATAACATAATTTCATTTGTACTGTGATGCACTCATCTCTGTTAGTCACCCCCAAGTCACTATAGTGACCCCTAGGGCCCATTTTCTCTCATCTTGAGAGTTCCCCATTTCTGTCATGTTGGCAAGTCTCGCCAAGAGCTGCAGTTTCTTCCGAAGATCACCAGACCCGGCATTTCTTTTCAGGATTCATGTATGATTTCTTAGGGCAGTGAAAGGCTTCTGAAAACTCTGCAGAGTTCTGCAAAGTCCCAATAATCCTTGGAAGCAAACAAAAAAAGTCACTGTTATCATTTGATACTCATGTCCATACCATGTAGAATTCCCATTCAGATCAAGTGAGTGCATTTGGAATGTAAAGTTTAAAAGAAAAAGAAAAAAAACCCCAAATGTACAATGAGTCAGTGCCTTCTCAAGAACAGTGTTTTTAAATGGAGAGGCAGCAAAATGCAGGAGTTAGAAGCACAGACTTTGGAGACAGACTGCATGGTTAGAATCTTGGTTTCATGGTTGTATTGTATAGTGGCAAAGGAGTCCAGGCTTTAAATGTACCCACCACCCCCACTTGTGGATACTGTACCCCGTGGGTGACTTTTCTTCCCTCCACCCATTTTCCCCTCCTCCTTTCTGTGTCCACTATCCCATTCTCTATGCCTTGGCAAATCCTTGGTTTAACTCCCACTTATAAGTAAGAACATGTAGGGTTTGGTTTTCTGTTCCTGAGTTAGTTCAATTAGGATGATGGTCTCCAATAGAATCCTGCTTACAATGTGCCTCAGTTTCTGCACAGAACCTGTATTTTAAGGTTGTCACAGAGAGTTAATAATTTATAAGTATGCTATGTGTTTGTAAAAGAAACAGATGATTCACACCTAGAGTTGCAGTTATTTGGAGTTGTAAGGAGAATTTGGTCAAAGAATAAAATCATGACTTTCCACTATATCTTGGAAGAGCTCACACAATAACTTACATATAATAGGCTTTTTTTTTTTTTTTGAGTTGGAGTCTCACTCTGTCACCCAGACTGGAGTGCAG